TTTAGGCATAAGAAATAACCAGGAGGGGCGCCTGGGTGGCGCAGTCGGTTAAGCCTCCGACTTCAGCCAGGTCACGATCTCGCGGTCCGTGAGTTCGAGCCCCGCGTCAGGCTCTGGGCTGATGGCTCAAAGCCTGGAGCCTGTTTCCGATTCTGTGTCTCCCTCTCTCTCTGCCCCTCCCCCGTTCATGCTCTGTCTCTCTCTGTCCCAAAAATAAATTTAAAAAAAAGTTGGAAAAAAAATTAAAAAAAAAAAGAAATAACCAGGAAAATATATATACTGTGCAATTTTATTTATATAAAACTCATAACCTTCCGAAATTAATCCATGCTGAGGAAATTTTGGAGAATGGTTACTTTTGGTAGGACTTAATGACTGTGAAGGGGCTAGTTTGGAGAATCTAGGGACCTGGTAATGTCCTATTTTGTTGACCTGGTGATAAACATCATTAACATCAAAACTCAATATACTATACGTTTGTTATTCATGCAGTCTTCTGTATGTGTATTTCAATACAATTTTTACTTAAAAAATAATAAACTTTGTTTCTGCTATGCTCTTCAGAATGGTGGCTATGAGTAAAACTTACTAATAACTAATTTACTGAAAATTGAAATTCTGTGTCCACTGGAGCTATGTCCTGAGTCCTAGTCCTTAAGGTCTTAAATAAATACCAAGAATTAGCTTTTAATTTAATTCCTGGAAACTAAAAAATTGCTAACATTATTGACTTTTCTGTTTCCTGTCTTTCCCAAGGAGAACATTAGAAATGTTCTTCAGTTTGGAGGACCATCCACTGATCTCCTTCCCATCTTTAATGAGTCCACAAAGCCCTGTTCCAATACCTTGGCCTTAAAATGAGGAACAGAAGAAGGAATGAAACGGAGGAAGGGCAGAGAGATAAACAAAATGCCAAAGGCAAGAAAATTGGTTAAAATGTGGAATGTGGTGTGTATGTGTATGTGTATGTGTATGTGATTGTGCACGTGTGTGTATGTGATTGTGGGATCAGAAGAAACTGGAGAGGAATGTCAAAGTAAGAAAAGATGAAGGAAGTGAAAAGAACAGCCAGAAAAGGGGGAAGAGTTGAGAGCTTTATTAGCCATATATTGAAATCTCCAATTTCAAATATGCTATCCTGTTGATACCACCATTGAGAACACATATCTTGATTCTTTAGAAAATAAAGATATATTTTATTATATAAAAAGGTTTAGAAAATAAAGTCCTGGATGTGAAATAATTTGCATGTAATAAGTGATAATGGAGAAAATAAAACCATGTAAGTTTGATAAAACTTTGTTTTCTTTCTATGAAAAGGTGAGGGTGGTTTAGAAGGACAGCAGGCAGCAAAGAGTACACCAAATATTTGGCCATAAGCCTCATTTTTATGGCTTCATAGAACTTATGATTTGGAATTGACCTTGAAATTCCTATAGCCTTACCCCAAATGTGAATTTCATAAATGCCAGATGGAAGAATCAGGATGGGGGTACTGGACATGCAACCTGGATAAATCCGTGCATCATGATAGGACACTTGGTCCTGTAAGAATCTATTATCTGGTCATTGTCATCAACTGCCACATTTCCTGAACCCAACATGAGACTGATTTTTCCATGAGATTTGAGGGTCCGTATTATTTTATAGCTTCAACACTACAGAATGAGAAAAACATGTGCACGCACGTGGATGCACAGTGGGTGAGCTGTGTTCAGCACATTCAGAGGCAGTAAATATTTTTTTTAAGCAACTGTAACTTACAGCTATTGAAGAGTAAATATCCCATTGGTCACACATGGAGGTTAATGCTGTGTTAGAAAGCAAACTAAAAACAGCCTTCCAGGGGTGCCTGGGTGGCTCAGTTGGTTAAGCATCTGATTTGTGGTTTTGGCTCCGGTCATGATCTCATAGTTCCTAAGTGCGAGTCTGGCATTGGGCTCCCCGCTGACAGCACAGAGCCTGCTTGGGATTCTCTCTCTCCCTCTCTCTTTGCCCCTCCCCTATGTGTAAATGGTCTCTCTTTCTCTCCCTCTCTCTCTCTCTCTCTCCAAATAAATAAACTTCAAAAAAAAATTTTTTTAAAGATCTTCCACCAACTCCATCACCATTGTTTCCCAACCCTCCCCACCCTCCCCACCCTCCCTTTCCATCATAAATATTTATACCTAGGTTCCAAGCCATGGTAACACACCAATGATGAGGAGGAAGCTAAATTGATATCTTTACCTTTGTTCTCCTGTTTTCAACCTGGTAGAAAACTCTGTCTCAGAATGGAAGCTTTCTGCATGCATCCAGTGTAAGAAATCATTTAAAAATCTACCATAAACATGACTCTCAGTGAAAAGTATTTGCTTCTGTTTAACATTTGAAATCATTACTTTTAAATTAAAATTAATGTTTTACATTGAATAGTAGTAGGCATCATGGCAGAAAATTAATCTGTCTGGGAAGATACTAAATACTGAAATAAATCCATACATGCTGTCTGGACTGCCCTGTGTACTCTATAGCACATCTTATGCATGTTTCTTGGGAATTATACATAAATGGTTAAAAGCAATGTTTTTTTAATAAACCATCTTGTGGCAAGGACTTGCTTTCTATAGAGTGAAGAGTGTGCATGCATGAATGCTGTATTTGAATATAAACCTCATAGACCAGACTGCTGGATTCTCAGTGGTGTATCCAGGAAATATGCAGTTGGTTGGACCTTTTCTAATACTTTCCATTTTTATCAAAAGCAAAATCAAAGCAATTTTCAATGCAAAACCAAATTCTAAACAACACCCATGAGAATTAGCAAAGCAACATTTCATCAGAAAATCACCTGCAGAATTTAGAATGCAATTTAGAATTACTAATTGGTGTGTTAAATGGATACATTCAGAAAGAGCTGAGGAGATGAGTCAACACTTCTGAAAGAACCATAATTTCAGGATTTCCTGAGAGAGGGCTCAAAATTATAAGCCTACCTAACACATTAGTGCATGGATTAGAGAAGTCAGTTCACCCAGACATTTGTTGTGTGCATAATTTCAAAAAGAATAAATACTACTTTGGAAATTGCTCTGGTTCATTTTGCCAAAAGTAACACCCTTTCTGGGCACATAGCCACTAGATATTTGCCCTGCTTTCTTTGTGACTACGGAACCTTGAAACATTGTTTGCAATTTTATCAAAGGATTCATTGAGTCAGAGGATAATCAGAGAGAACATATTAGCTATTAAAATGTAGCAAGGTGAGCCTGAGATTCCTTAGAAAAAAAGTTAGCTTTTATCTTAATACAGTCCACTTTTCATTTTTCACTATTTATTCACACTTGAATCCTATCATCTCACTACCTCAACTACCAGGGAACCATCATCTCTTTTCACCTCTATCTGCCCTACTGCAACAGCCCCCTAGATGGTCTTCTAGTCTCAATGTGGCTGAGTACAATCTGTCTTCCACCCAGTGGCCAGCATGAGCCTTCAAGAGCTGCTTAAACAGTAGAGGCTCCAAGGGCAGGAGAGGCAAATCCACACTGAGAGTAAGTATCCACCGTCTTGAAGACCAACCTCTACCCACCCAAGATGGGAAGGGTTTGATATAGTCATCACTATAGGACCAGTGGGTCCCTCTGTAGGGGTTCAAAACTGGGGCTTGTTTCAGACACTCAGAGCAAGTGTGTCTGAAGCACGCTTCCTAAGTGGGAGTTCATGCTATTGGACTCATCAGTAGCTTGTCTGTGCCACCGTGGTTACTCTGTTCACAATCTGCAGGGTGAGTTCTGGGTGGCAGATGACAAAATCGGCCAACTGGCCAAGTCATTTTGTCTACTTAGTTATTTGGTGCCTTTTCTAGGGTGGCAGGTGCTTTCTGGTGGGCATTAATGTGTGATACAAGCATCTTCACACTCTGTGCCTATTCTGATTTGCCCATCCACATGCACCTCTCCCGGAATAGCTTGTCTCAACATCCCTGTCCTTTCCCTTCTAGGCCACTGCCCAGTAACCTGTGTGTATTCACATCTCAAGCAATGTCAGGTTCACCACTCAGTGCTCTGCCCATTGGAAAATTTTCCCCTTCCTACTGCTTTTAGTCACCCAAGAATGTGGCCGTAATGCAGCCCTTGTTCATTTTTGGCTTGCACTCACATACTGATCCAACTATCTGCAAAACGACCTTGAACATCCACTGCCTCTTTGAGCAGGCTCTATGCAATAGGTACACTGGTGCAGTGGCAGTAGGGGACAGGTGGATTAACTTAGCCCTGAAAGAAAATGGCAAATGGCTATTGCCCTTCTCACATGAACATAAAAAGTTTCTGATCCCTTTTCCTAATTGGAATGGAAAGAACACATCTTCCAAACCAATGGCAATCTGCCACATATCTGCAGCCTTATTAACCTGCTTTATTAGTAATGTCATAATTGACATAGTAGCTGCAATAGGTTGATACTTGGTTAAGTCCTTAATATACATCATCCTCCAGAATCTATCTGGTCTCTACAAGAGCCAGACTGGTGAATGAAATTGAGATATGATAGGAAATGCCACCTTTGCATCTTCTAGGTCATAATCTCTACCATCTACCCACAGTATCAGAGAAGACCATTTGGCCTTCTTCATTATAAAAAAATCTTACTCTGCAGACCAGGAATACAATTTAGAGTTATTCCAGCTGTTAAGTATATCAGTTCTAATTGTGCATCAGGAACTAGGGAATGATATTAGGTATATCCATGAATCCAAGGAGCCCACTGTAAGCTGGACTTTAGCTAGGACTCATTTATTTTTTACCTGGTTTCCTCAGGACCCCACACTGAATGAGGGCTATATTTTGAGTCTCTGGTTATCAATGTCAACTCAGACTTAGTTCTTGAAAGTTTCTGTTGTTTTCCTTTTTCCACAGTGTATGGTCAACTGAATAAATGGCTATTGGTCCCTTTGGGGAAGAAGTAGGGGACTGTCAAAGAATATACTTTTATGATGTTACAGGATCCTATTGGGCCTGGCTACCTCTTAGGTAAAATGGTTCCAGAACTGAAAATGCATTCAGGTGTGGGGACTGAGCAACAAATGGTGAGTTTTATTGCAGTAATTGCTCTCACGCTTTTACTTTTCCATTCTTTTTTCTTCTTTGGAAATTATAGATAGTAAGCAGTGCCTTGGTTGACTGCTGTCTAAGGCAATGGTCAGCAAAATATAGCCAAATTTACCTCTGGCCTACCACCTGTTTTTGTAAATAAAGTTTTATTGGAACATAGTCATGTTTAGGCTTTTTATTTTTGCCCCTACCATCTGCCAGGGAAGCTCAGGCATTTCTACTTTGCTAAGATTTGACCACCATTTCTTCCAGGCTTTTAAAAGCCACCTCAGAAATGACTTTGTTCCATCCACTGAGTCTTTCTTATTAGGATGATAAATCCCACATCCTGAGAAAATGTCCCGAGATCAATGAATAATTGCTTATCCAGCTTTACATTCTATCCTCCTCGATCAAATATCCTCAGAATATAATCCCAGGAGAACTTTCCTTGCTCTTGACAGTACTGGGTGATAGTTGTCTTCATTCTTGAGATAGGCCTGAATTGCAATGTATTTTCCTCTCAGGACTGCCTTCGCTGCGTCCCAAAGCGTTTGGATTGTTGTATTTTCATTTTCGTTTGTTTCCATATATTTTTTAATTTCTTCTCGAATTGCCTGGTTGACCCACTCATTCGTTAGTAGGGTGTTCTTTAACCTCCATGCTTTGGGAGGTTTTCCAGACTTTTTTCTGTGGTTGATTTCAAGCTTCATAGCATTGTGGTCTGAAAGTATGCATGGTATGATTTCAATTCTTGTAAACTTATGAAGGGCTGTTTTGTGACCCAGTATATGATCTATCTTGGAGAACGTTCCATGTGCACTCGAGAAGAAAGTATATTCTGTTGCTTTGGGATGCAGAGTTCTAAATATATCTGTCAAGTCCATCTGTTCCAATGTCTCATTCAGGGCCCTTGTTTCTTTATTGACCGTGTGTCTAGATGATCTATCCATTTCTGTAAGTGGGGTGTTAAAGTCCCCTGCAATGACCACATTCTTATCAATAAGGTTGCTTGTGTTTATGAGTAATTGTTTTATATATTTGGGCGCTCCGGTATTTGGCGCATAGACATTTATAATTGTTAGCTCTTCCTGATGGATAGACCCTGTCACTATTATATAATGTCCTTCTTCATCTCTTGTTACAGCCTTTAATTTAAAGTCTAGTTTGTCTGATAGAAGTATGGCTACTCCAGCTTTCTTTTGGCTTCCAGTAGCATGATAAATAGTTCTCCATCCCCTCACTCTCAATCTAAAGGTGTCCTCAGGTCTAAAATGAGTCTCTTGTAGACAGCAAATAGATGGGTCTTGTTTTTTTATCCATTCTGATACCCTATGTCTTTTGGTTGGCACATTTAATCCATTTACATTCAGTGTTATTATAGAAAGATATGGGTTTAGAGTCATTGTGATGTCTGTATGTTTTATGCTTGTAGTGATGTCTCTGATAATTTTTCTCACAGGGTCCCCCTTAGGATCTCTTGTAGGGCTGGTTTAGTGGTGACAAATTCCTTCAGTTTTTGTTTGTTTGGGAAGACCTTTATCTCTCCTTCTATTCTAAATGACAGGCTTGCTGGATAAAGGATTCTCGGCTGCATATTTTTTCTGTCTAGCAAACTGAAAATCTCGTGCCAACTCTTTCTGGCCTGCCAAGTTTCAAAAGAGAGATCAGTCACGAGTCTTATAGGTCTCCCTTTATATGTGAGGGCACGTTTACCCCTTGCTGCTTTCAGAATTTTCTCTTTATCCTTGTATTTTGCCAGTTTCACTATGATATGTCGTGCAGAAGATCGATTCAAGTTACGTCTGAAGGGAGTTCTCTGTGCCTCTTGGATTTCAATGCCTTTTTCCTTCCCCAGTTCAGGGAAGTTCTCAGCTATTATTTCTTCAAGTACCCCTTCAGCACCTTTCCCTCTCTCTTCCTCCTCTGGGATACCAATTATGCATATATTATTTCTTTTTAGTGTATCACTTAGTTCTCTAATTTTCCCCTCATACTCCTGGATTTTTTTATCTCTCTTTTTCTCAGCTTCCTCTTTTTCCATAACTTTATCTTCTAGTTCACCTATTCTCTCCTCTGCCTCTTCAATCCGAGCTGTGGTGGTTTCCATTTTGTTATGCATTTCATTTAAAGCGTTTTTCAGCTCCTCGTGACTGTTCCTTAGTCCCTTGATCTCTGTAGCAAGAGATTCTCTGCTGTCAGCTATACTGTTTTCAAGCCCAGCGATTAATTTTATGACTATTATTCTAAATTCACTTTCTGTTATATTATTTAAATCCTTTTTGATCAGTTCATTAGCTGTTGTTATTTCCTGGAGATTCTTCTGAGGGGAATTCTTCCGCTTGGTCATTTTGGATAGTCCCTGGCGTGGTGAGGACCTGCAGGGCACTTCCCCTGTGCTGTGGTGTATAACTGGAGTTGGTGGGCGAAGCCACAGTCAGACCTGATGTCTGCCCCCAGCCCACCGCTGGGGCCACAGTCAGACTGGTGCGTGCCTTCTCTTCCCCTCTCCTAGGGGCGGGATTCACTGTGGGGTGGAGTGGCCTGTCTGGGCTAGTTGCACACTGCCAGGCTTGTGATGCTGGGGATCTGGCGTCTTAGCTGGGGTGGGGAGGCAAGGTGCACAGGGGCAGGAGGGGCAGGCTTAGCTTGCTTCTCCTTAGGTGATCCACTTCAGGAGGGGCCCTGTGGCAGCAGCAGGGAGTCAGATCCGCTGCCGGAGGTTTGGCTCCGCAGAAGCGCAGAGTTGGGTGTTTGCGCGGAGGGAGCAAGTTCCCTGGCAGGAACTGGTTCTCTTTGGGATTTTGGCTGGGGGATGGGCGGGGAAGATGGCGCTGGCGAGCGCCTTTGTTCCCCACCCAACTGAGCTCTGTCGTCCGGGGGCTCAGCAGCTCTCCTTCCCTTTGTCCTCCAGCCTTCCTGCTTTCTGAGCAGAGCTGTTAACTTATGACCTCCCAGGCGCTAAGTCGCGCTTGCTGTCGGAACACAGTCCGTCAGGCCCCTCCGCTTTTTGCAAGCCAGACTCGGGGGCTCTGCTTGGCCGGCGAGCCGCCCCTCCGCCCCGGCTCCCTCCCGCCAGTCCGTGGAGCGCGCACCGCCTCGCCGCCCTTCCTACCCTCTTCCGTGGGCCTCTCGTCTGCGCTTGGCTCCGGCGACTCCGTTCTGCTAATCCTCTGGCGGTTTTCTGGGTTATTTAGGCAGGTGTAGGTGGAATCTAAGTGATCAGCAGGACGCGCGGTGAGCCCAGCGTCCTCCTACGCCGCCATCTTCCCTCCAATCCTCCATTCTTTAGGTGTATAGTCTCTTTCTTGCCCTATCAGTCTCTACCCTCACCACAGCAGCATTATTCTGGTATTTAACCCTAATTATTCATCTGGCAGTAAGAAAGAAGATGGGGACAGCTCCTAAGGTGGGGGGCACATATGCCTTGTGGGGAGGAGGATTCTGCAGCATCTTCCAGCCTGGCTTAAGTGTCAGCCCTTATTGGGGAAAGGTAGACTCCCGGTGCATGGTACATGCCCAGAGGGTGGGGCTGTGGGTGTTGTAAAGTCAACATCATCAGGGACATCCATCCAGGTTTCTCTGTGTTAAAGAAGTACTTTAATGTCTTGGAGCTCTACCATTCTCAAAATTAAGTCTTAGCTTTGTCTTTTGGTTATGCCTGCCCTTCAGCTATAGGTAATAAGGACCTCTTTATATACTACCACCATTACCACTGGAAGCTCTATGGTTCTCACACTTGGCTATTAAGTGCATGTTAACAGCTCTCAGTCTCTCATTAATCTTTTCAGGGAGTCCATACACCTAGTGTCAACCAACCAATCGGGCTGTCTTTGTAGGCACTGTCCTCCTACTTCCAAATGCTATATTGTTATACCTAACACAGCATTTGCCTCCATAGGGACATTTTCCAGGGTCACCATCAGGGAAATATTTAGCAACTGATCTGCATCTTATGCTAGGGAGCAGACATGTGTGCTCTATGCCAAAGAGTAGCTGAGCTAATTCTCTGCCTTCATCTTGCTGTCTGTTTTCCCAGACCACTCTTGGTACCACTTGTGTTAATCCAGACCTTCTGAGAAACAGACATTAAAATAGGGTTAAAAAATGCAAGGGTTTTATTGAGGAAGAAGCCTGTGAGAAAAGGATTGGGGAGAGAGCTAGAAAAGCCTGGGAAATATGTCAAACTCCGAGGCAAGAGTGAAACCAAGTGAAGGAGAGAGAGAAAAGGTTGAGTGGATTGCCCTTAGAGTTGTGCAGTCTAAGCAAGCTCAGCAAAGATGACAAGGATTCCTTGACTTTAAAATGGCCAAAAGAGGAGTTCCACATCTCCCAGAAATGAGTCTTCTTCGGTATGTCCCCCACTCTCAGTCCTTGATTAGGGAGTTGCCTGTGGGAGGCATCCTCTGGCCCAAATGAAACAATGGATTTCAAAGGACAGCATCTGGGGCCCTGGGTCAATTATTCTCCCTGTAATAGGAGGTCCATGAGGCACATTTTCCCATTTGCCATATAGATTTAATATAATTTCAATTAAAATCCTATTGGTATTTTTTGATGAGGTGATTCTAAAATGTACATGGACTTAGAATGGACTTAGAATACCTACACAATTTGGGGGGAAGAACAAAGCTGGAGGAAACACATAACCTAATTTCAAGACTTACTGTAAAGCTACAGCAACCATATGTACATATAAATCAACGAAACAGTATACAGTCCAAAAGTAAATGCATGCCTATATGGCATATTTTTTAAAGGTGAAAAGATAAAGTGGAAAGGATATTCCTTTTAATAAATGATGCTGGAACACTTGGATATTGATATGCAAAAAATAAACCTGGACTCCTACATCAAACCACAGATCAAAAGTAACTCAAAATAGACCATGGATCTAAATGTAAAATCAAAAAATATAAAATTATTAGAAAAGAATCTGAGACAATATATATAACTTGGGTTAGGCAAAGATTTCTGAGCACATAAAAATCAGAAG